GGCGTTGCCACCAGTTTTGTGCCCCCCAGAATTAAGAAGAAAACTACTGCATAACTGTATTCCTTCCTGCATGTATGTATATTGAGAATTAAACCATGAGGTCCATTGGATTGCGAGTTAAAAGCCTATTCAGGGCGTACTCCATGGCCTGTTATGAATAGACTATACACCTTTATCATAATGGCTGCAATTGTATTTTTCCAAAATAAGATATATATGAATATTTTGTCACTGTAACATCAAAGAACTATCAGAAATAAACGTTTTTGAAAAGTTTTAGAACTCTGCGACAAAATAGGAAAAAAGTTACGGTGAAATAAACATACAAAGAAATGTATGTAATTTTCCACCAATGGCTGTCTGTCTATTTGTTTATGAATRTGAAATATGTGAAAACTTTGCCACTGTCATGTAAATGATGTACCAGCTAGAAATAAGCACTCCAGAAATAAACATTTTTGTAAAGTTTTACAGCCATGGATAAAATGCAAACAATATGGCATCGAGAAAGACAGATTTCGATTTGTTGTTTCTTTGCAGTCTTCCTGTTTTCAGACTTTTACAAGCAACTATTTTCATAATATCTGAGTAATATAAAGGTTGTCATGAATAGACCTCTGATGCTTTTAACGTCATTTGCGCAATGCATTATAGGATATGTTTGGAGATAGAGAGAGAGAGAGAAAGATATGGCCGACTTTCCAGATTTCGCAGACCAATGATCTGAATTTCATCTGGATTACATAGTTAGTAAGGGACTTGGACGACTGCTATTGAAGGCGCTTAAGCAGCCGTGCAGTTTACAAACATGAGTACGTTAGATTTGTTAGTGCGTTAGTGTGTTAGTGCCCTYAAGRTTATGCGRCCGRAGTACAGACACTGAGGATGGTCGTACCTGCGTCCTCAGTGGTTCTTTAACGTCCACTGCAGAGTAGAGTAGACGGGAACTCATACAGGGCGTAAATTGTTGATTTTGAAACACACCCAGATCTATATTAGAATATGACGTCTGATGTCTAGACGGGCTCCAAGTCACTTCTTCAAAGAGCGCAGCATCTGAGATTCTTGGTTTGCAGGTTACGTCACAGCGGCCATCTTGGAGGAACTTTAACAAAGGATTTCTCATTAGTATCTATTGTTCATTCCTCCAATGGTCGCCG